ATGCAATCGTGTGTTCCAAGACATCTTCTGGTGGAGTGTTAGTGGGTCATTACTTATTGCCGAATCACAGGACTCCAAAAATCTCCAAACCGGTACGTACTGGTTTATCTTGCTTATGTCCATTCTTCAGTCTTTAACAATATCCGTAGTCCATCTCAAAATTCCCGTCTGCACATATTCTGCTCATATTGTACCAGCTTTCTATTCTCTAGACCCCGTCAGGCTTGACGAACATGAGTGGTGAATATAAAAATGGAATAATCGAGTGTAGGTATGTTGTATTCAAAAGAACACTACATGTACCCTCCTTGAGCCCCAGCTTTGCGGCCCATCTATCCATCCTTTTTTTGCGCCCCATTTATGTGTCCCATCCTTGAGCCCCAGCTTTGCGACCCATCTATCCATCCTGTTTTGATCTCCATTTCTGTGCCCCATCCTTGAGCCCCAGCTTTGCGGCCCATCTATCCATCATTTTTTTGCGCCCCATTTATGTGTCCCATTTCAGCGCCCCGTTTATATGCTCCATTTATGAGCCCCATTGTTGCACATCGTTAATGTTTGAACTCCATTTTGACGTTATTATATCTAGATAGTATGTCCTATTCCCCACAACAGTAGTATAGAGCACTACATTTACCTGAAACGTAAACCCCTCAAAATAGTGCTCAATACATCGATAGAAGTAGAGCAGAATATTTGTTTGAGAAGAAAAAGTCAAGACAACATTTTTCCCAACAAGCCTGTTTCGTGAATTGCTTCGCTCTTCAGGGGATTTAATGATAAGAATATTCGTTACTATCATTTATATAGAAAAAGTATACATAATTAATTAGTGGATGTAGTTTAGCTGTTGCGTAGTAATGCTTTGTTTCTGTGGCGGCATGAAGATACAAGTTCGTTTCGTTTATTTAATGATGAGAGTTCCGGTCGATAGATTATTAGAAATTTTGCTTTAAGGCAAAGGTTACATCTTATATATATACCGTTTTAATATAGCCGAGAACCGGAACCAAGTGTAGTAAAAGAGCTCTTGTCAGTAAACTGTTACCAGGCAGCACTTTAAATCAGGAAAATCACTCGATTACATAAACATAAAGGAAATATTGGTAGACACTCTGATAACATTCGTTTAAGAAAGACAAAAAAATCTTATCGGAATACAATGAGGCCATATGTGCCATACCCGGGTAACGGACTGGGATTTTTTTTTTTTTTTTTTTCTTTTCACATAAAAGTTTCCTTGTTGTTGAGAATTTAAATCAAATAAAAACTGGATAAAAAAATGTGTATAAGATGGGATTAGAACCCACCAAAAGAAATTCGAAAAATACGATTCCACTTTGCCATACCCCCGAGACATCCGCAGAGCTGAGGCGTCGTATGGACTTCGGACCTGACGGCGATTAAATCCTTCTGCCCTTGGGTGCACGAATTACGCAAGAAAATGTTCTAGCCGAAGCATCAGGGGAGAGACCAGCCGGCCCCCAGACCATATCGGCTGACCCCTTGCATCTCTGCCACGCACGGAATCGGTTAAAAGCATAAAGCTAAAAAGTCTAGTCTATTCGGTGCATTGTTTTCACGTCCATTGTTATGCTGATTCCCCTGGAACCGTGGTCCAGTGGAAAAATCTTGGGCTTCCATGACACTGAGTCAAGTCCGGTTGAGCGAAGTTAGTACCTGGATGGGTGACCTGAAACTTATGCTTACTTAACTTTTTTGGATTTTTTTTTTTCTTTCGTAACTTTTAATCGATTACAATTCCTTTTAGTTAATAAATCGTCGAAATTAAGAACTGCTGTAATCATGAGCAGTTTCTAGTGCTTTTACAGGGGCGTATGTATGGGAATCCTAGGTTGCTCGTAACCCCCACTGCCCAACTTTGAAAACTAGTTGGTTAGTATAGCAAAAGGTGTATCTTCTATATATTGTGACACCCCCCCCCACACACACACAGACCTTGAAGCTTGGAATTAAAGTGCCTATCACCCTTCTGACAATATTCTCAGTATTGATTCTACATGGGGTAAGATGTTGAATAACCCGAAAAAATTACATAGTTTGAGTGCGACTTCTTGAAGTTATGAAGGTTTTTCCATGCCATATGCTAATGCTGTGACGTATGAGGAGTAATCATTTAATATACAAAACACTACTGGTACAGATAAATAAATTTGAAATACGCCATTGTTTTCCCCATTGCTCTCATAGAAATGATTGCAAGTTAGTTTTACCATAGAAGCCGGTGTTTCGAATTACGAGGAACAACAAATAACCATAAATGCCTCCTCATACGTCACAGCATTAGCATATGGCATGGAAAAACCTTCACAACTTCAAGAAGCCGCACTCAAACTATGTAATTTTTTCGGGTTATTCAACATCTTACCCCATGTAGATTCAATACTGAGAATATTGTCAGAAGGGTGATAGGCACTTTAATTGGGTGTATAGCAAAAAGTGTATTTTTTGAATTTGTGACCCCACCCCAAGACATCACGACACACAGATCGGATCCCCTGTCTTTAGGCAGTCAAAGCGTTCAAAAGCTCTCCAAACATTACTAATGAAATCTTGACAGGTTCCACCGCTCTATCAAAGCTATTCCACCCTTGAAGTATGACCTGAATAAGGCTTATTATTTAATCTACGCCAGGGGACCAACATCAGGTAACAGATAAATGAAGTACAACACTCGTTATCAGAGTTATTTTGGGAGAGATTACCTGACAACATACCTTACCGGCGAGTGGACCATATCCACTTGGGCGCAATGTTTCCCCATTTCACACCACGTTTCATTCTCTTGAGAATAAGATTCTTTGTTTGAGTTGTATCTATAATGATGTGTCTTCTCATGCGCAACCGTTAAACAAAATAGATACTCTAGGGAATGATACATGGTCTGAATAATGAAAACATTACCCCCAAGTTGATTTAGTCCATCACTTTCGATCCGCCACGGACGTTGATTGTAGTGAGAAAATGGATAACCTGGAGCCGCAGACCTCGTTTCTTTGGAACTGAAGTTTGTCCATTTCCCATGCGATGGACAAGTCAGCCTTGCACTTGCTTCTGTACATTACAGTAAAATAAAGACTTGTATCCGTCATTTCATTTCAGACACTGGAGAACTAAAGTATCATGATTGGTTCAGATTTTCTCCTGATCGACACAATCTGACCTCTGAAGGACCCGTGGACGAAGCATCATCACTGCTTGTTCCTCTGCATGGTAATGTACAACACAGATAAGAAGATATAATCTTATTGTAAATCGTGCATTATGAGATATCTGGTTTTTATAGTAATAATAATAATTAAAGGAAAAAAGTGGGGTTTTCGTAGCGGAGATAGCTAAACGCACCCTTGCGTCATCAATGACATTGAGCGATCGCATATTTGGTATAGCATCTAAGATACTTAACTTTTTAATAGTTCTCGCATTGCCGCACGCGCGCGCTATATATTTGGTAGCTTTTCGTTCAATTTTTTTACACCATTGGTTCAATATATCTTTGCAGCTGGTCTGATGTTCTTAGCGTGGGTAGGGTTCGCCTCAATCGGGATGTTTACAGCTCGTAACACGAGGAAGGTTTTGGAAGGCGAGTTGTGCTGTGGAATGAAAGACTGGTTCCAGGTAAAAAAATATTTACGCTCGTTGTATCAGTATCCATGGTAACTCCTGGTATTGTTTTATTTTAGGTTCATCGTACTTTGATGACTTTTGCCACTCTTATTACCATCTCTGGTTTTGTTGTCATCTTTATTTACAAAGGAGGATTGTCCATCGAGGTAAAAGGACTTTGTTTTTCTCCTGTCCTGTCCTGTCCTGTCCTGTCCTGTCCCCATCCCATTAATCATTATATATTTTAGACCGCAGGTTGCCATGGTATCATTGGGATTATTGTCGTTTCCCTGGCAACCCTACAACCAATAATAGCATTTTTCAGGCCCAGTAAAGAAAGCAAAAGGTAAAGTAGTACAATGAAAGTAATGGTATACGATATCTTTTCCTTGCGCGCGCGAAATATTTTTATGAATTAACTATTATGGGGGTGAAAAGACAACCGAACGGTTTTTTACCACAGTTGACAAGATTCCTGAAGACCGAATTTGTTCTCGGGGGAGAAAACTTGGGAACCACAAAAAAAGCTTAAAGCACAAAAGAAAGCCACCCCATATGTGGCACATTATTGCGGGTCTAAGAACCGATCGAACCCACAGCGCCTTGAGAGGCGCCCATTAGCAGTGCGCAAACAACTTGAATGCTATCTTTGCTTTTTCCAGGCGGTATATTTTCAAGTGGTTACATCGATGTATTGCTATCGTGGTTTTTATTCTTGCAAGTAAGTGGAAAATATCAGTCTTAATTTATTTGTTTCAGAGTCCACCCCACCAATATCTTTTCCTCACTAATAATCGATAGATCTTTGATTATGGAACAAAGGTTTGTTAACAAATATTTCATAACAATTTCCATTTTCCCGTTAGAACTTTGATCGACAATAATCCTGTCATGAAGACAAAGTAAGAAAATTCTTTATGGAATGGAACCGATTTTCGTCTTGTACCCGGAAGGCGTTTTTCCATACGACTGGCGTCACACTCAAAAGTCCTATCGCGTTTCATTTCCATATGATCAAAGCAAAAACTTAATAGCAAACGTCATATATGATACTAGGCAATGTGTCTTGCTTTCTGAATCACTGAAGTACACTGTTTGCGTGTGTTGACACTAGTGACCAACTGTTATCTTGGCTTACATCTCGTCGACCTGCCAATGACCACCCACCAAGGTTCCTACCTCCTTCTTGGCTTTGTAACTTCGTACATGACAGTCTCTTTGCTGTGTGAGGTATATTCCATATTGGGAAACACAAAAGAAAAAGATACGAGCCTTCTTTCTGCCGAGGTGAACAGCATCACTGGAAGCGTGGAAAACAGCACTGAAAAAGATACCAAGGTTTGTTCATCGGTAAACTGTCCCTTAGAAACAGATCACGTGATCAAATACTAATTTGTCCAACTGTAATCTAAAAATAGATATAAAACATTCGAGAGTTACCTTTTTATAAATGAAATGTCGATGATAAAGAAAATCGGAAAGTTTTAACGACATTTATGAGTTTGCATTTTTGTCAAAATTGCGCATCATGCCGGACGAAGATCACGTGACCTAAGCTTAACCGTGTTTAAGCAAGTGTTTATAACTGTTATTCTGTTTGTAGGGAAAGGATAGTGTACTCTTACTGGCCTACTCACTTGTTGTTCTACTTGCTGTGGGTGTGTCCACAGCTTTTGTCATCATCCTTTTTCTGTCCGTCAGGAAATGGGAACGAAGTTGATCTACGACGCATACTTCAGATTGAAATAACTTGATGAAAATGGGTAGATGATAGTGTGGAACGAACAGACTGTGAAAGATATAATGACTCATTTCAAAAGTTCAAAGGGAGATTTGTAACTACCAAGAGGGGGCATAGGATTATGTGACTCAATCAACCCCACAATGCTTTTCCCTAAAAGGTCGACCGTTACCTGTCCTCCCGTTTTCAACTTCAGAAAGGCGTATAGAGGTGTTAAGACTGTGATAAGCTTAGTGACGTATGCGTGCCTTGCCGCAATATTGATGTTTTCTAGAATTTTGATTGGCTGATTTTTTCTCGATACTATGATTTGTCTGGCAGTGTCGTGACCGTGCCGTGAACGTGCCGTGACCGTGCCGTGACCGTCATGCGATAACTGCCGGCTCTTGATAGTTACCTCTTCGGCAGGGAATTTCAGTTAAAAACTAACGGGAATATTGATTAAATAAATAGAAAAATTGACTTCTGTCGTTATTTGTTTGATATCTTAATTATATAACGCTACGCAAATAAGTACGCTTAATCGACACCTTTTTTGCCGAGCATAACCTACCTAATGCTATCCTATCGTATAGGAGACTAGGAACGAGTACCTCCTTTAGTGTGCGGATGAGCATCGCAATAAGGTGGGTGAACTGCGGTCCGGATCCACCTCGTCTTCCCACAACCCCCTCTCCCTCGTCTAAGACCAAGAGACTGGTTCTGTATTTATACAAAACTACCTTATTTGGTAATGCAACACATCCTTACGGGCTTGCTTTGGCTATACAATCATGAACGACCATGGATTAAAGCTTAAGGGGCTGTGCCGAGTGCTCAGAGGCCGAGAACTGAATATAGCTCGGGAGATTTTCGGATAATCCGTTCTGAACAGACGAAGATAAACGGCTTATTCTATCCTTTTCAATACCTCAAATAGACTAAGATGAATTTAGTAATTTTCAGTTATACTTATAGGTTGAATAATTATTTTTGAATTGACTTTGTCCGAAGAGTTTCCGAAGTTTCATCGTCTCTCTTTCGGAAGTAATTCGTAAAGAGTCCGTGATGTGTTGCAGGAATCTATATAAAATTCGCAGAAGACGCTGGGCTTCGAAGAATTAGTTAAGTTGTATTAATATCTTGGTGGAGTCTTCCTTCTTTTTCCCTTCAGTATGCAATTTTATTTTGCCTTTCTGCTTGGTAAGTGTAGTATAAATGCATAAGGGATGTGATTGTAAGGCTAAGGTGCTGTGGTCAGGGTGTTTTGGAGGCAGGAAGAGCTTCCTTCCTTGACGTGAACTAGTCAAAGATCGATATCTCTTTAATGAACGAGGTGTACGTTCTCTAACCCTTGGAAAATGATTAATTACCAGTATTTTGTTGTTGTTGTATCAATCAACTTTTCGAGTTAACACAAACTTCGAGGTTAATCAATTAATCATAAATGGTACTTCTGTATCTATAAAATATTCATTCAATATTTTTATGATTTTCTGTCGCATTTTTTCATAACAGCCTTTTGCTTGATTGGAATGGCTTCACCCTTGGAGGTATGTCTACTTGTCACCCTTTTGATTTGCGTACTGTATGAAGTTTGACAATATTGCCAAATAAACAAAAATATAAGCTTATACATATTTGTTTGCCATTTACACTCACACATACATGTAAATTGGTTTACAATTCTTGGTTTTCATGTGACGTCATACACCTATCAAATGTTATCGTCCGCCATGTTGGTGTCGCACGAGCTAATTAGCATATGTCATATAACAGAGAGATGCATGTGTTTTGAAGCGGAGAATATAAATGTCGCGTGATTTTATTGAAAATACAGAAGATAAAAGTCACG